GTTTGTTTTTGAGACAGAGTTTCGCTCTTGTTACCCAGGCTGGAGTGCAATGGCACGATCTCGGCTCACCGAAACCTCCGCCTCCTGGGCTCAGGCAATTCTCCTGTCTCAGCCTCCTGAGTAGCTGGGATTACAGGCATGCACCACCATGCCCAGCTAAATTTTTGTATTTTTAGTAGAGACGGGGTTTCACCATGTTGACCAGGATGGTCTCGATCTCTTGACCTCGTGATCCACCCGCCTCAGCCTCCCAAAGTGCTGGGATTACAGGCTTGAGCCACCGCGCCCGGCAGGAGAACCTGTTTTGTGTTGTTTGTTGGTTTGTTTTTGTTTTGTTTTGTTTTGTTTTTTTAGAGATGGGGTTTCACCACGTTGGCCAGGATGGTCTCAATCTCCCGACCTTGTGATCCACCCACCTCGGCCTCCCAAAGTGCTGGGATTACAGGCGTGAGCCACCACGGCCGGCCCGTTGGTTTGTTTTGAGACAGTCTCGCTCTGTCGCCACTGCCTGCACTCCAGCCTCCCGGGTTCAAGTAGTTCTCCTGCCTCAGCCTCCTGAGTAGCTGGAATTACAGGTGTTTATTTTTAGTAGAAATGAGTTTCACCATGTTGGCCAGGCTGGTCTTGAACTCCTGACCTCAGGTGATCCACCTGCCTCGGCCTCCAAAGTGTGCGATTACAGATGTGAGCCACTGCGCCTGGCTGAGAGAACCTGTTTTAGGAAAGCGGCATTGTGCCAAGAACTTATTCAGTCCTAGGCCGGGTGTTATGGCTCACACCTGTAATCCCAGCACTTTGGGAGTCACGAGGTCAACATATTGAGACCATCCTGGTTAACATGGTGAAACTCCATCTCTACTAAAAATATAAAAATTAGCTGGGTGTGGTGGCACATGCCTGTAATCCTAGCTACTTGGGAGGCTGAGGCAGGAGAATCCCTTGAACCCAGCAGGTGGAGGTTGCAGTGAGCCAAGATCACGCCACTGCACTCCAGCCTAGCGACAGAGCGACACTCCATCTCAGGAAAAAAAAAAAAAAAACTTATTCAGTCCTCACTACAACTCTATGGGGTTGGGATGTTATTATCCCCATTTTACAGATGAGGGGACTAAGGCACAAAGATGTTAAGGGACTTAACCAAAGACACAGCTAGGAAGTAGTAGGAACTGTATATGTTTTTTAATTTTTTAACTTTTTTTTTTTTTTTTTTTTGAGACGGAGTTTCGCTCTTGTTACCCAGGCTGGAGTGCAATGGCACGATCTCGGCTCACCGCAGCCTCCGCCTCCTGGGTTCAGGCAATTCTCCTGTCTCAGCCTCCTGAGTAGCTGGGATTACAGGCACGTGCCACCATGCCCAGCTAATTTTTTGTATTTTTAGTAGAGACGGGGTTTCACTATGTTGACCGGGATGGTCTCGATCTCTTGACCTCGTGATCCACCCGCCTCGGCCTCCCAAAGTGCTGGGATTACAGGCTTGAGCCACCGCGCCCGGCCTTTTTTTAACTTTTTTTGAGACAGAGTCTTGCTCTGTCACCCAGGCTGGAGTGCGGTGGTACAATCCCAGCTCACTGCAACCTCCAACTCCCAGGTTCAAGCAGTCCTCGTGCCTCAGCCTCCCAATTAGCTGGGACTACAGGTGCTTTACCACCATGCCTGGCTAATTTTTGTATTTTTGATAGAGATGGGGTTTCATCATGTTGGCCAGGCTGGTCTTAAACTCCTGGCCTCAAACAATCCATCCATCATGGCCTCCCAAAGCACTGGGATTACAGGCATGAGCCACTGCGCCCAGCCAGGACCTGGATATAAAGCTGGTAGTTGAACTCCTAGATCTTTACAAAAAAAAAATTTTTTTTTTGAGATGGAGTCTCGCTCTGTGACCTAGGCTGGAGTGCAGTAGCACAATCTCAGCTCACTGCAACCTCTACCTTCTGGGTTCAAGCAATTCTTCTGCCTCAGCCTCCCTAGTAGCTTGGATTACAAGCGCATGCCACCACGCCCAGCTAAGTTTTGTATTTTTAGTCGAGACAGGGTTTCACCATATTGGCCAGGCTGGTCTTGAACTCCTGACCTCGTGACCCACCCGCTTCGGTCTCCCAAAGTGCTGGGACAACAAGCGTGAGCCACTGCGCCAGGCCAGAAATTTGTTTTAATTAAAAACAGTTTGGCAAAAAAAAAAAAAAGAAAAAATATGTTGGCCAAACGTGGTGCCTCACACCTGTAATCCCAGCACTTTGGGAGGCCAAGACAGGCAGATTGCTTGAGTCCAGGAGTTTGAGTGTAGCGTTGGCAACATGGTGAGACCCGGTCTCTACAAAAACATTAAAAAATTAGCTGGGGCTGGGCATGGTGGCTCACGCCTGTAATCCAAGCACTTTGGAGGCCAAGGGGGGCGGAGGCTGGGAGTTCAAGACCAGCCTGACCAACATGGTGAAACCCTGTATTTAAAAAAAAAAAAAACAGCCGGGCGCGGTGGCTCAAGCCTGTAATCCCAGCACTTTGGGAGGCCGAGGTGGGCGGATCACGAGGTCAAGAGATCGAGACCATCCTGGTCAACATGGTGAAACCCCGTCTCTACTAAAAATACAAAAAATTAGCTGGGCGTGGTGGCGCGTGCCTGTAATCCCAGCTACTCAGGAGGCTGAGGCAGGAGAATTGCCTGAACCCAGGAGGCAGAGGTTGCGGTGAGCCGAGATCGCGCCATTGCACTCCAGCCTGGGTAACAAGAGCGAAACTCCGTCTCAAACAAACAAACAAACAAAAAAAAAAAAAAAAAAAAAAAAAAAAATTAGCTGGGCATGGCAGACTAGAAGGAAGGAAGGACCTTATCAGTGCCTGTGTTCCTAGCTACTCTGGAGGTTGAGGCAGGAGGATTCCCTTGAGTCCAGGAGTTCAAGATTACAGTGAGCCATTGCATTCCAGAGTCTCATTCTGTCACCTAGGCTGAGTGCAATAGCATGATCATGGCTCACTGCAGCTTTGACCTCCAGGCTCAGGTGATCCTCCCCTTCTTCTCAGCCTCCTGAGTAGCTGGGCAGGCACACTCCACCACGCCGCTTATTATTTAAGAAACATTTGTTTCTGTGTTGCCCAGGCTGGTCTCAAAACTCCTAGCCTCAAGCAGTCCTCTTGCCTTGGCCTCCCAAAGCGTTGGGATTACAGGTGTGAGCCACCACACCTGAACTCCTGTATCTTAACTATTGCATCATTCTGCCCCTAACCACTAGGCTATACCATCATCCTCTACCAATGCTGAGTTCAATTTTGGAAGTGTTGGTCTTTAGATACCCAAAGGACATCTACTTCATTCCATTTCTTTCTTTCTTTTTTTCTTTTTTTTTTTGAGATGGAGTTTCGCTCTTGTTACCCAGGCTGGAGTGCAGTGGCGCGATCTCGGCTCACCGCAACCTCCGCCTCCTGGGTTCGGGCAATTCTCCTGCCTCAGCCTCCTGAGTAGCTGGGATTACAGGCACGTGCCACCATGCCCAGCTGATTTTTTGTATTTTAGTAGAGACGAGGTTTCACCATGTTGACCAGGATGGTCTCAATCTCTTGACCTCGTGATCCACCCGCCTTGGCCTCCCAAAGTGCTGGGATTACAGGCTTGAGCCACCGTGCCTGGCCCCCTATTTCTTTCTTTTTTAAAGACAGAGTCTCACTCTGTCCCTCAGGCTGGAGTGTATTGGTGCAATCTCAGCTAACTGCAACCTCTGCTTCCTGGGTTCAAGCGATTCTCCCACCTCCGCCTTCTGAATAGCTGAGATTGCAAGCGCCTGCCACTATGCCTGGCTAATTTTTGTATTTTTAGTAGAGACAGGGGTTTCACCATGTTGGCCAGACTGGTCTTGAACTCCTGACCTCATGTGATCCACCTGTCTCATCCCCACCAAGTGCTGGGATTACAGGCATAAACCACCGTGCCTGGCCAGCTTCATTCCATTTCTGCCCTGGGCTTTTGCAACAGGCTCCAGTGGTCTCTTTGTCTCCTTCCTTATTCCCATAAACCATTCCCCACGCTGCAGCTAGAAAACACAATTCCAGAATACCACTGTCTCCCAAAACCCTTCAGTAGTCTCCCACTGCTCCTTGAGACTGAAATGTTTACTTGCTTACAAGGCAGAGGTAGACCCCTGCCCACCTTTGCAGCCCCATCTCTAGATGGCGTGAAAGGCTCCCTAACTTCCACCTTCCTCTCCAAGTTCCACAGCATGTTCTCACCCAGAGCCGCTGGGCCTTTTGTCCTCCTCGCTGGAATGCTCCTAGAGGTTTCTCTCCCCTCGCAGCCACCTAGTTAATTCTACTCAGGCTTTAGAGCTCAGCAAGTCCAGTCTACTCAGTTTTCTTTTAGAAGTTCCTATAACTTCAGTTCCTTTATTTGTTTGTACATGTCTTAGTATGCTTATTTGATTACGGATAGTCTCCCCTCAGACGGTGAGTGCCCTAAAGACAGGAACCTCGCCCATCCCCTTTACTACTACGTCCATAGCACCGATCACAATGCCTGTCCATAGCACCGATCACAATGCCTGGCGCAGGAAGGCGCCATCAACAGCCGTTGAATGAGTGACATCCAAATCGACGGCAAAGGGGACGGCTGGACAGCGAGTCGCCCGCTTAGGAGAGATTCTGAGTCGGAAATAAAGATCTGGGAGTCACTTATAATTTAAGCCAGACGAGTGAATGGGTTCGCCCGAGCGGTGTGTAGACTGAAGAGATTCTAACTCATGCAAGATCAACAGTAACGTGGCTGACAGTCACGTCGCAAAAATACGGGTGGCTCTCCTTCGCCTGCTTGTGATCCTGTGCAAGGCGCTTCCCACCCTGGGTCTGTGAGCCCCGTCGGTGAAAAACGGAGGGAGATCGATTCATAACCCCAACAGCGCCGGAGACCTTCCCTCCGCCGCCCCATCCTCTCCCCTCCCCTCGGTGACTTCCTTCAGCAGCTGACGAAGCTGGATCCCTGGACACCGCCTCTTCCGTACGCGGCGCCCGACGACGCCCGGAAATTTGCGGGCGCGCCGGAAGTTGAGGGGAGTTTCCTGCGAGCTCGGCTTCCTCAACATGGCAGCGCCCTTGTCAGTGGAGGTGGAGTTCGGGTGAGTTGCAGACCTGGGGCGCCGTGGGGATGGATTGAAGTCGTCGGGCCCGGAATTCCCTTTCCTCTGCCTTGGGGCCTGACATGGCTAAATCACTGGGTGTCCCGGTGCCTGCTGTGAGCTACGCCACCCGCCTGGGTGAGTCTGAGAGGCCAGTCTCTCCTGGCGATGAGGCCGTATGTCCGGAAATAGAGGCGCACATTGGGAGGAAGATGCGCTCTGCGCACCCCTGGATGCCCTGTGCTCCGCAGGAGTCGAATTTGTGACGGTTAGCAGGCAGCCTCCTTATCGTGTTTTCCAGTCCTGTCTCGGACCGATCCCACCTGTTTGGCATCTGAGCTCCTAGAACCTAGAAGGACCACTCTCCACTCCCTGATTTCATTCTTTGAGCAGCAGTTTCTTTTTAGTGTTCTTAAGATCTTGTTTCTCGTGGGATGTAGTGGCCAGGACGGGACTTTTTTCTTTTTCTTTCCTAAGACTTGGGGATGTTAAACAGACCTGAGCCTCCTGCAGGACAGTCAGCAAACTTGGTGTGTTTCTTCTGCAGAACTAGAGTCAGGTGGAGATACAGGGACAAATAAGAGATCACACTGAAGGAAACTAACACGGACAGTATAGTATACACAGATGAAAAATGCAGAAATTGGAACACACACCAATAGCTGAAGAAACAGAGCAGGGAGGAAGTCTACTCAAAGCATTCTTTGATTCCTCCTACAAACAGGTGTGTCATGATTTCAAAACTGAGAGATCCTGCAGAACTTAGAGAGAAGGCAAAGAAACGAAGGCCTTGAAAGATGGATGGTGTACTTTCCAGAATCATATGGCAAAGAGGGAATAGGGTGTGTGTGTGTGTGTGTGTGTGTGTGTGTGTGTGTGTGTAGATAAACAAGTCAAGGTTTATGTAAAAGTTGGGGATGAGAATCTAAAACCTCTGCCCAGTGCCTTTCTTCTCATTGGATGCCTCCTGTTTCTTTCATGTTCTTCCTTCATTGGGTAGTTCATTCACCAGCCATTTATTGAGTGCCTACCATGTGCCAGGCAGCAAGCCAGACACTGAGGGATACAAAGATAAATAGAAGTCTGTCCGTGCCCTACAGCATTCAGCATTTCTGCCCCTTAGAAGGGGGGTAAGTCTCATGACTAAGTGCATTTTAATTGATATTGTCTGGCCGCTTGGATCAAATTAGAACTGTATCGGTCTGGACTTCTCACTGTTTTGCCTCACTGACTCTTGGCCCAGCTACACTCCCCAAAGCCTGGGGTTCTAGGAGGATCCCTGTTTCCTTGACAGGCCTCAGTGGAGCTGGAAAGAGAGTAGCCACAGACTGCTGTGTTAAGGTTTAACTAGGCCAGGCACGGAGGGTAATTCCAGCACTTTGGGAGCTGAGGCAGGAGGACTGCTTGAGCCCAAGAAGTCGAAACCAGCCTGGGCAACACAGGGAGACTTCATCTGTACCAACAACAACAAAAAATTTACTACTGACAATTTGCCTTTCATTGTTTTGTTTTGTTTTGTTTTGTTTTTTTGAGATGGAGTTTCGCTCTTGTTGCCCAGGCTGGAGTGCAATGGCACGATCTCGGCTCACCACAACCTCTGCCTCCTGGGTTCAGGCAATTCTCCTGCCTCAGCCTCCTGAGTAGCTGGGATTACAGGCACACGCCACCATGCCCAGCTAATTTTTAGTATTTTTAGTAGAGACAGGGTTTCACCAATGTTGACCAGGATGGTCTCGATCTCTTGACCTCGTGATCCACCCGCCTCGGCCTCCCAAAGTGCTGGGATTACAGGCTTGAGCCACCGCGCCCGGCCTGCCTTTCGTTGTTATGAGTCAGACCTGTTACGTCTGTCTGCCAGGTACTGTGCTAGCACAATGGGGACGTCCTGTGAGGAAGACCTGGCGCTTGTTCTCCAGAGCTTACACACCAGCACAGTTGCCCTTTTTCTGACCCAGTCATCTTTAGCTTCAGTCTCCCTTACCTCGAAGAGCAATAATAACCCCTGGTAAGGCAGGACAACATTCTTCCACCACCCACCCACCTTCCTACCACCTCCATCCACAGCACAGCATTCCATGAAAATGTAGCTTCTCAGGAAGCAGAAATGCCCAAGGTGATGCTCAACCCAGGTTCCTTCTCTCTTTGTCCTTGCCTTGATGTGCGTTTTTGCCCCTGACCTCTCTTTCATTTCCTATGTCTATTAGCAGATAACGATTCACGCTTTACGTGGAACCGGCACAACTTTGCAAAGGTTACATGCCCGTCATTTTCTCCCTCATCCCTGAGTGGCCCCATTCCTACTTCAGCCCTGGAAGGGTCTGGGTTAGGATTTTGTCTCCCTCCCGAGCAGATATACTCTTCTTGGCCCTACCAACTCCTCCAGAGACCCTCTGGAAGGCCCCTCCCACCTTCCTCCTTGTCACTGATCAGGTCTGCCATCCTTTATCTTGCCCCTGAACTATTCTCAGCAGAGCATTTTCTCAGGTCAGGCATGATCCAAAGTATGTAATACATTGTTGTGTTTTGTGTCCCTGTGGTCCATGTTGTAAAGATCCAGATATGAAATTCTCTTCTTCGCACTCCTTTTGCTCCTTCCCAAGTTGGGGAGGTATTGGCAAAAGGAGGGAATGTCATTGAGGTCAGAGAAGAACTGGGAGAAATGGGCATTTTCATTCCTTTGGCAGATATTTGTTGAGTGTCTCCCATGTGCCAGGCCCTGTTTTAGGCAGAGTTTGCAGCCCAGCAGGTGGAGGGGAAGTAAATAAACTATATATATGTATATGTATATGTATATGTATATGTATATGTATTATATGTATTATATGTATATGTGTGTGTGTGTGTGTATACACAGAAGATTAAAACATGAAGATCAGAAAAGGTGAAGGCGGTTTTGAAAATATCTGTACCTGTCACTGGTATCAACATACACATCCACTAAAAATTGGAAGGTGGAAGGAAGATGGAGATAATGTCAGTTGAGTTTTAATAGCAGATCTTATCAGGCATAAGAGGGTCTGGCCTTGGGTCTCTCTTGGGCTAGAACAGGCCCCTTGTCTGCCTCCCTGAATCACTCTTGAGGCTGGGCATGCACCTTCCCCCACTCCAGATGTGCTGACAGCAGAAACGCAAACCCCTCCCTTGAGGGCCAGTGAATTCAACAGTGGCAGGTCACTGTCTGCGCAAGACTGGTTCTCCCTTCATCCGCTTGTAAAGGGAAAAACAGCCTTGGCCTCTGAGCCTGGCACCACCAGGTTTGGCCAGTATTGGTTGTTTGCCTGAGTCCCAGTGCCTTCAGTTCCCATCCCTCTTCTCTGACCCCCAACTCCTGAGCCCCTTGCCTGTCACCCTCCCCCACCCCAGCTGCTGCATGTGCCAGCCCCCACCCAGGAGAAAACGAGGCTCTTGGAAGGGGATAAATGGAGGCTCTGTGCGGGCTTGCAGCTGAAATGGCCCTGTGCGCGGCCACAGATGGGCCTCCTCTCCCCCTCCACATTTCTGCATCAACAAAGCGTGACCTTGTTTAGATGACAGTCGCCCCATGTTTTCCCCATGACAATGCTTGCCTTGCCTTTGCCTCCCAGTGGGCTGCCTCAGGACATCTCTGTTCCCTGAAATTGGGAAAGGGTGGTGGGGTGGAAGACATTGCATCCTTCAAAAGTCTGGTAAGGCCTTTTCAGTTAAGATCCACAAGAAGTCTGAGATGTGAGTCGGGAGACCCAGAGGGAGAAGGAGTGTGGGGCACTGAAAGAGTCCTGGCGCTCCCCTCAGAAGCCTCAGCTTCTTACTTGGCACCAAGTATCTCTGCAATCCCCGCCTTCCCTTGGCCAGGTGCTGGGACACAGAAATGAACCAAACTCTGCCCTCAAGAGGCTTTCTGACCTTTGGGAAGTCCTGTTTTTTTCTGACAAGGCTGCTGGTGCTAAGAAGGAGTCAGTTAGATTCAAATGATAGGTTTGGCTCCTGCCTGTACAGCCTTGGACAAGTTGGTTGGTTAACCTCTCTAGGCGTGAGTCTGCTTTTCTATCAAACGGAGTTAATAATGCCTGCCTCCTCCCTTCTTCCCTGGGATTCCCTGAGGATGAAATGAGATGAGGAACATCTTATATAAATGGTGAGGTGATGTGAGCAGTTGTTCTTAGTTGATGCCAGGTCCTATGGACTCTCTCAGCCTCCAGCACTGTGATGTGCCCACCAGGTCAGCAGCAGGTGGCATGGGCAGGAGCATTTCAAACCACCATCTGGCCAGAGAAAACCCCTAGGTGCGCATTGTCTACAGAGAGCCTCACGGTGGCTCCTCAGTGCTTTTCCAGATGGAAAGACTGAAGCTTAAGACTGGAGTCATGGCTGGGCTTGGTGACTTACACCTATAATCCCAGCACTTTGGGAGGCTGAGACAGAAGGATTGCTTGAGCCGAGGAGTGTAAGACTAGCCTGGACAATACAGTGAGACCTCATCTCTATTATAAAATATTTTTATTTTATTTTATTTTATTTTATTTTATTTTATTTATTTATTTTTTGAGACGGAGTTTCACTCTTGTTACCTAGGCTGGAGTGCAATGGCGCTATCTCGGCTCACCGCAACCTCCGCCTCCTGGGTTCAAGCAATTCTCCTGCCTCAGCCTCCTGAGTAGCTGGGATTACAGGCATGTGCCACCATGCCCAGCTAATTTTTTGTATTTTTAGTAGAGACGGGGTTTCACCTTGTTGACCAGAATGGTCTCGATCTCTCGACCTTGTGATCCACCCGCCTCGGCCTCCCAAAGTGCTGGGATTACAGGCTTGAGCCACTGCGCTCGGCCTATTATAAAATATTTTAAAATTATTATTTTTAGTTTTGAGACAGGGTCTCACACTGTTGCCCAGACTGGAGTACAGTGGCATGACCTTGGCTCACTGCAGCCTCAACCTCCCAGACTCAGGTGATCCTCCCACCTCAGCCTCCCAGCTGGCTGGGACTGTGGGCATGCATCACCATGCCCAGCTAGTTTTTGTATTTTTTGTAGAGACAGGGTGTTGCCATGTTGCCCAGGCTAGTCTTGAACTCCTGGGCTTAAGCAGTCCTCCTGTCTCAGCCTCCCAAAGTGCTAAGATTACAGGTGTGTGCCACTGGGTCTGGCCCCCAAATTATTTTAATAACAGAAAAAAAAAAAAAAAGGCCGGGCGCAGTGGCTCAAGCCTGTAATCCCAGCACTTTGGGAGGCCGAGGCGGGTGGATCGCGAGGTCGAGAGATCGAGACCATCCTGGTCAACATGGTGAAACCCCGTCTCTACTAAAAATACAAAAAATTAGCTGGGCGTGGTGGCGCGTGCCTGTAATCCCAGCTACTCAGGAGGCTGAGGCAGGAGAATTGCCTGAGCCCAGGAGGCGGAGGTTGCAGTGAGCCGAGATCGCGCCATTGCACTCCAGCCTGGGTAACAAGAGCAAAACTCCATCTCAAAAAAAAAAAAAAAAAAAGGCCGGGCGCGGTGGCTCAAGCCTGTAATCCCAGCACTTTGGGAGGCCGAGGCGGGTGGATCACGAGGTCGAGAGATCGAGACCATCCTGGTCAACATGGTGAAACCCCAACTCTACTAAAAAATACAAAACATTAGCTGGGCATGGTGGCGCGTGCCTGTAATCCCAGCTACTCAGGAGGCTGAGGCAGGAGAATTGCCTGAACCCAGGAGGTGGAGGTTGCGGTGAGCCGAGATCGTGCCATTGCACTCCAGCCTGGGTAACAAGAGTGAAACTCTGTCTCAAAAAAAAAAAAAAAAAAAAAAAAAAAAAAATTTAGCTGGGCATGGTGGCACGTGCCTGTAATCCCAGCTACTCAGGAGGCTGAGGCAGGAGAATTGCCTGAACCCAGGAGGCGGAGGTTGCAGTGAGCCGAGATTGCACTCCAGCCTGGGTAACGAGAGCGAAACTCCGTCTCAAAAAAAAAAAAAAGAAGATTGAGTCACACATCTAAGATCTCGACATAGGGAGAGGTGGAGCCTGGTCTTCACATTGGGGCCAGCATGTAAAGGCTGTGTTCTGCACCTGTGTGCTAAGCTGCCTCTCTAGAAGGCAGAGGAGTTAAGAGTCTGCAAATTTGGGTTCTTGAATTTTTTCTTTCTTTTTTTTTAATAATTAGAGACAGGCCAGTTGGGCTGGCTCATGCCTGTAATCCTAGCACTTTAGGAGGCCAAGGTAGGCAGATCACGAGGTCAGGAGATAAGACCATCCCGGCCATTGTGAAACCCTGTCTCTACTAAAATACTAAAAATTAGCCAGGCGTGGTGTCACATGCCTGTAGTCCCAGCTAGTTAGGAGGCTGAGGCAGGGGAATCACCTGAACCTGGGAGAGGGAGGTTGTAGTGAGCCAAGATGGTGTCACTGCACTCCAGCCTGGTAACAGAGCAAGACTCCCAGAAGGAGAGAAAGAGAGAGAGAGAGAGAAAGAGACAGAGCCAGACATGGTAACTCACAACTCTAACCTAGCACTTTGGGAGATCACTTAAGCCCAGGATTTCAAGACCAGCCTGGACAACATAGGGAGATCCCATCTCTACAAAAAACAAAAATAAAATTAGGAAGGTGTGGTGACACGTGCTTGTGGTCTCAACTACTTGGGGGCTGACGTGGGAGGATTGCTTGAACCCAGGAGGTTAAGGTTGCAGCAAGCTAGGATCACACCACTGTACTCCAGCCTGGGCGACAGAGTGAGACCTTGTCTCAAAAAAATAAATAAATGAATTGGCTGGGCATGGTGGCTGACTCCTGTAATCCCAGCACTTTGGGAGGCTGAGGCGGGTGGATCACAAGGTCAAGAGATCGAGACCATCCTGGTCAACATGGTGAAACCCCGTCTCTACTAAAAATACAAAAATTAGCTGGGCATGGTGGCACACGCCTGTGGTCCCAGCTACTCGTGAGGCTGAGGCGGGAGAATTGCTTGAACCCAGGAGACGGAGGTTGCGGTGAGGCGAGATGGTGCCATTTGCATTCCAGCCTGGGTAACAAGAGCGAAACTCCGTCTCAAAAATAATAATAAATAAATAAATAAAATAAAAATAGGCTGGGCACAGTGATTCATGCTTCTGATTTTAACATTTTGGAAGGCCAAGGCACGCAGATCTCTTGAGCTCAGGAGTTTGAGACCAGCAATGTGAGTGAAATCCCATCTCTACAAAAATTTCAAAAGTAGCTGGGTGTGATGGCATGCACCTGTAGTCCCAGCTGCCTGGGGGTCTGATGCGCAAGGATTACTTGAGCCTAGGAGGTCAAGGCTGCAGTGAGCCATGATCATGCTACTGCACTCCAGGCTGGGTGACAAAGTGAAACCCCGTCTCTAAATAAATAAATAAACAAACAATAATTGGTGGGGCGCCAAAAAAAAATAATTACATACAGGCAGGGTCTCGCTATGTTACAAGGCTCTACTTCCCTGGGACTCATCTCAACTCCTGGCCTCAAGCAGTCATCTCGCCCCAGCCTGCCAAAGTGCTAGGATTATAGGTGTGAGCCACCACACCTAGTCAGTAGTTGATTATTAGTAAAATTATATCCTACTTTACCACACTGGAAGTCATATTAAGGAATTGGTCATTGGGGCTGGGCAGTGGCTTATGCCTGTAATCTCAGTGCTTTGGGAGGCTGAAATGGGAGGATTACTTTAGGCCAGGAGTTTGAGATTAGCCTGGGTAGCATAGCAAGACTCCATCTTTACAAAAAATTTAAAAATTAACCTGATATGGGCTGGACATGGTGGCTCATGCCTGTAACCCCAGCACTTTGGGAGGCCAAGGTGGGCAGATCACCTGAGGTCAAGAGTTTGAGACCAGCCTGGCCAACATAGTGAAACCCCACTTCTACTAAAAATATAAATCTTAGCCAGGCGTGGTGGCACACTTCTGTAGTCCCAGCTACCCGGGAGACTGAGGCAGGAGAATCGCTTGAACCTGGGAGGCGGAGGTTGCAGTGAGCTGAGATCACACCATTGCACTCCAGCCTGGGCAACAGAATGAGACTCCCTCTCAAAACAAATAAAATACAAATATAAATATAAGAATTAGCTCATGCACCTGTAGTCCTAGCTACTTGGGAAGTGGAACAGAAAAGTCTCTTGAACCCAGGAGTTCAAGGTTACGGTGAGCTACGATTGCACTACTGCATTCCAGCATAGGTGACAGAGCAAGACTCTTGTCTCTGAGAAAGAAAGGGGAAAAAAAGGAATTGGTCACTGGTACCCAAGATGTTCCTGCACCTTAGTCTCCGCTTCTCTCAGCCTTCATTCCCAGCCCTATCCTCAGTTTTCTGTTTCCGCTACCTCTTCTATTTGTAGGAGCTCACCTGGCTTTTTCTCTGGTCCTCCTTTGCAGAGGCGGTGCGGAGCTCCTGTTTGATGGTGTTAAGAAACATCAAGTCACTTTGCCTGGACAGGAGGAACCCTGTGAGTATTGGCTTTCTAAACTCCTCTCTTGGGGCCGTTGAACAGGAGTTGGTCCATGGATAACACTCAGCCCCGTTCAGGCCCGTGTTCTGCACCTGTGTCTTAAGCCGTGTCTCTAGCAGGCGGAGGAGTGAAAATAAGAATCTGCACTGCTGGGCGTGGTGGCTCATGCCTGTAATCCCAGCAGTTTTGGAGGCCGAGGTGGGTAGATCAGCTGAGGTCAGGAGTTTGAGACCAGCCTGGCCAACATGGCAAAAGCCCATATCTACTAAAAATATAAAAATTAGGCCAGGCACGGTGGCTCACGCCTGTAATCCCAACACTTTGGGAGGCCGAGGTGGGTGGATCACGAGGTCAAGAGATCAAGACCATCCTGGTAGCCGGGCGCGGTGGCTCAAGCCTATAATCCCAACACTTTGGGAGGCCGAGGTGGGTGGATCACGAGGTCAAGAGATCAAGAGCATCCTAGTCAACATGGTGAAACCCCGTCTCTACTAAAAATACAAAAAATTAGCTGGGCATGGTGGCGCCTGCCTGTAATCCCAGCTACTTGGGAGGCTGAGGCAGGAGAATTGCCTGAACCCAGGAGGCAGAGGTTGCGGTGAGCCGAGATCGCGCCATTGCACTCCAGCCTGGGTAACAAGAGCGAAACTCCATCTCAAAAAAAAAAATGTGTATATATATATATATAAATTAGCTGGGCATGGTGGTGCACGCCTGAGGCAGGAGACTGCACTCCAGCCTGGGCCACAGAGAAGACTCTCTCAAATGAAAAGGAAGAGTCTGCAAAGCCAGCTTCATTGGAGGAAAGGGGTATGGTTTCATCCTTACATGCGGATTCTATCTTCAGACAGGCTTGAGTTTGAATCCCCATAGAACCATAGTCCAGTGACCTTAGCTTTCTGAGCTCTAGTGTTCTCATCTGTAAAATGGGGTTGGAAATCCATATCTCTCAGGATTGTTAAAAGAAGTAAGCAAGCCGGGCGCAGTGGCTCAAGCCTGTAATCCCAGCACTTTGGGAGGCCGAGGCGGGTGGATCACGAGGTCAAGAGATCGAGACCGTCCCGGTCAACATGGTGAAACCCCGTCTCTACTAAAAATACAAAAAGTTAGCTGGGCATGGTGGCGCGTGCCTGTAATCCCAGCTACTCAGGAGGCTGAGACAGGAGAATTGCCTGAACCCAGGAGGCGGAGGTTGCGGTGAGCCGAGATCGCACCATTGCACTCCAGCCTGGGTAACAAGAGTGAAACTCTGTCTCAAAAAAAAAAAGGAGTAAGCAGTTTATCCCATTTGTCTCTACTTTTTTTTTTTTTTTTTTTTTGAGACGGAGTTTCGCTCTTGTTACCCAGACTGGAGTTGCAATGGCACGATCTCGGCTCACCGCAACCTCCGCCTCCTGGGTTCAGGCAATTCTCCTGCCTCAGCCTCCTGAGTAGCTGGGATTACAGGCACGCGCCACCATGCCCAGCTAATTTTTTGTATTTTTAGTAGAGACGGGGTTTCACCATGTTGACCGGGACGGTCTCGATCTCTTGACCTCGTGATCCACCCGCCTTGGCCTCCCAAAGTGCTGGGATTACATTGTCTCTACTTTTATGATACAGTAGAAAAGGTTCTCGTGAAGGAAGTAAGCTTCATTGAGGATGTAGTGATTTAAATGGGCTCATATTATGATAAAAGGGTTTAGATTAAAAAGAGTATCCAGCCAAAAAGGTTGGGGGAGAGAGGTTGGCTAAAGGAGAGATTGGATTTTTTTTCTTTCTTTCTTTTTTTCTTCCCAGACAGAGTCTCACTCTGTCATACAGGTTGGAGTGCAGTTGTGTGATCTTGGCCCAAAGCAACTTCCACCTCCTGGGTTCAAGCAATTCTCCTGCCTCAGCCTCCCCAGTAGTTAGGATTACAGGCACACGCCACCACACACAGCTAATTTTTGTATTTTTTGGTGAAGACAGTATTTTACTATGTTGGCCAGGCTGGTCTCAAACTCCTGACCTTGTAATCCGCCCACCTCTGCCTCCCAAAGTGCTGGTATTACAGGCATGAGCCACCGCTCCCAGTCCCTGGATTTTTTTTTTCTTTGTTCATTCAAATACTTGTTAATCTTTCTTGAATAAATATACATTGAGCACCTCCTATGTAGCAGACCACGTACTAATCATTTTGGAGACAGACATGAACAAGAGCCAGTCCCAGGCCAAGCATGGAGGTTCACACCAGTAGTCTCAGCACTTTGGAAGGCAGAGACAGGCAGATCACTTGAGGCCAGGAGTTTGAGACCAGCCAGGCCAACATGGCAAAACCCCATCTCTACTAGAAATTTAAAAAATTAGCCGGGCGTAGAGGTGCACGCCTGTAATCCCAGCTACTCAGGAGGCTGAGGCAGGAGAATTGCTTGGACCTGGGATGAGGAGGTTTCAGTGAGCCAAGATCACACCACTGCACTCCAGCCTGGGCAGTAGAGCAAGACTCTGTCACAGAAAACAAAAACAAAAACAAGCCAGTTCCTGCCTTAAAATTGGGAGGTTTTAAAGAATAAAGTTGCATATCTTTGGTTGTGTAGCTGTCAGGGTAGCCTCAGTGTTGGGGAGCGGGTATGGCAGGTGTTCAGGTCTTTCCTAACCTTAGCAGTGGGTTCTAGCAAGTGCTCAGGGGTGGGATTCCAGTCTCTACCTGTGTCTGGGATCCTTCTGAGGACACTGGAAATGAGGTTCCTGGAGGTGGGCAGTAGAAAATGGTCAAGTCAGGCTGGGCACGGTGGCTCACACCTGCAATCTCAGCACTTCGGAAGGCTGAGGCCGGGGGATCACGAGTTCAGGAGTTTGAGACCAGCCTGGCCAACGTGGTGAAACTCTGTCTCTACTAAAAATACAAAAATCAGCTGGGCGTGGTGGTGGGTGCCTATAATCCCAGCTACTTGGCAGGCTGAGGCAGGAAAATTGCTTGAACTTAGGAAGCGGAGGTTGCAGTGAGCCGAGATTGCGCCACTGCACTCCAGCCTGGGTGACAGAGCAAGCCTCCGTCTTGGAATGGGGGGAAAAAGGAAAAAAATGGTCAAGCCAAGTGTGGTGGTATACGCATGCAGTCCCAGCTACTCAGGAGGCTTAGACAGGAGGATCTCTTGAGCCTGGGGGGTCAGGCTATAGTGAGCTATGATCATGCCACTCCACTTCAGCCTGGGCCACAGAGCGAGACCCTGTCTCAATTCATTAAAAAGAAAAGAGGCCAGGCACAGTAGTTCGCGCCTATAATCCCAGCACTTTGGGAGGCTGAGGTGGGAGGACCACCTGAGCCCGGGAGTTTAAGAGCAGCCTGGGTAACATGGTAAAACCTAGTCTCTACAAAAAAATAAAACATTAGCTGAGAATAGTGGCACACATCTGTATTTCTAGCTGTTTTAGAGGCTGATGCAGGATTGCTTGAGCCCAGGAGACTGAGACTACGGTAAGCTATGATTGCACCACTGCACTTCAGCCTGGGCGTCAGAGTAAGGCCCTGTCTCAAAAAAAAAAAAAAAAAAAAAAAAAAAAAATGCACATAAACAGAATATGTGTGGGGAAAACAAGAAAATAGTCAAGTAAGATTGGGCAGGATTCTTTTGAAACTGGACACAATCTGCCGGAAATCAATTATTATTGCTCATATTCACTGGCTGCCACACCTCTCTGTCCCTCCCTCAGGTTGGAAAGCAGTGGTACAGGGTGGGGTCTGTCTGCCACTTTTAGAGACTGGGGCAATACTGAGGAGTGGGGCACTTACTGAGGAGCAGGGCACTGCCCACATTGAGCCAGGAGGGGATACGTGGCAGGGTTTAAGTGTCAGGATGTGTGTCCCTGGTCGAGGAAGATCCGGGGTGCTGAAGGTGACTGCTTCTTAATTTGAAAGATGGCCGTTGCAGCCTTGGGAGGGCACAAGGTACTCTCAGAACAAGCTTCATAAAGATTCAGTCTCAAAGACCTTGCCTGGAAGTTTATTAAAATATCACAAGTTAATACTTATTTCCTCTGGAGTTTGTCTGACATGAAAACCCACAAATTTTCTCTTTTTTTTTTTTTGAGATGGCCTCTTGCTCTGTTGCCCAGGCTGAAGTGTGGTAGCACGATCTCAGCTCTCTGCAGCCTTCGCCTCCTCAGTTCAAGCAGTTCTCCCACTTCAGCCTCCCAGTAGCTGGGATTACAGGCAAGCACTACAATTTTTGTATGTTTTAGTAGAGACGGGGTTTTAATGTGTTGCCCAGGCTGGTCTTGGACTCCTGACCTCAAATGACCCGCCCACCTTAGCCTCCCAAAATGCTGGGATTACAGGCATGAGTCATTGTGCCTGGCCCACAAATTTTCCTAATTCTAGCTCCATTTCACTCATTCATTGACTGAGTACTCAGCAGTGCGAGGTACAGTAGAAAGTATTTTATTAGGCCGGGCGCGGTGGCTCAAGTCTGTAATCCCAGCACTTTGGGAGGCCGAGGCGGGTGGATCACGAGGTCGAGAGATCGAGACCATCCTGGTCAACATGGTGAAACCCCGTCTCTACTAAAAACACAAAATTTAGCTGGGCATGGTGGCGCATGCCTGTAATCCCAGCTACTCAGGAGGCTGAGACAGGAGAATTGCCTGAACCTAGGAGGCGGAGGTTGCGGTGAGCCAAGATCGCGCCATTGCACTCCAGCCTGGGTAACAAGAGCGAAACTCCGTCTCAAAAAAAAAAAAAAGAAAGAAAGAAAAAGAAAGAAAGTGTTTTATTTGGCTAGACGCAGAGGCCAGCACTTTTGGAGGCTGAGACAGGTGGATCACTTGAGCTCAGGAGTTTGAGATCAGCCTGAGCAGCATGGTGAAACCCCGTCTCTACAAAAAATATGAGAATTAGCTGAGTCTGGTGGTACATGCTGGTAGTTCCAGTTATTTGGGAGGCTGAGGTAGGAGGATGGCTTGAGCCCGGGATGTGAAGTTTGCAGTGAGCTGATAGTGTGCCACTGCACTCCAGCCTGGGTAACAGAGCCAGAGCC